CACCACCACCACCACCACCACCACCACCACCACCACCACCACCACCACCACTACCACCACCACCACGACAACCACGCACACACGCACGCACGCACGCACGTGCACCACCACCCACTACGCACGCGCGCGCGGAGCCACAGGTCCGCTACGACACGCGTCCGCGGATAGAGAAAATCAGCGCCATGGTAAGGGATGGGAGGGAGGGGTAGGACGTCAGATATGACGCGAGCGCACCTAGCTTGTCCTCCTCCCCCTCCTCCTCATCCTCCTACAAGTCCTCCTCCTCCTCCTCCTCCTCTTCCTCATCCTCCTCCTCCTCCTACTCCTTCCCCTCCTCCTCCTCTTCCTCCTCCTCTTCCTCCTCTTCCTCCTTCTTTTCCTTCTCCTCTCCGGCTGGCGCTGTTCGGTGCAGTTGTCTTGGGCGCGCCCTGGCGCACGTGGCCAGAGTCTCGGCGGCGACAGCCGCCGGAGCCCCAGGAGCACATGTCCTGAGGCGGTCTCGCTCTCTCTCTCTCTCTCTCTTTCTCTCTCTCTCTCTCTCTCTTTGTGCGCCTCCAGCCACCATTGACTGCCGGGAGCTGGCGGCGTGGCGCCGGGCGCGCGGACGCGCTGCGACGCTGATCAACGGCTGCGGGCGATGGGGGGGGGGTGCTCAGGATGGGGAGGAGGAGGGCGACGATCAGGAGGAGGAGGGCGACGATCAGGAGGAGGAGGGCGACGATCAGGAGGAGGAGGAGGAGGAGGAGTATCCTCCTGAGCAGGGCATCCACGCGATCGCTTGGTCCATCGAGTACGAGTGGCTGTACTGGGTCGTCGCGGCCCTATGAGTCCACCAGGGCGCCCGCACGTAAGATCACCTCCTGTCTCTTCCTCGTTCCTCCACCCTTGAGAGGAGGAAGGATGACGATTAGCAGGGAGGCGAGAGGAAGAAGGAGGAGAAAGTGGGAGGAGGGAATCGGGGGAGGAGAGGAAGTGGGCAGAGGAATGGGGAGCGTTGTGCAGCTCCTGGAAGGGCGCCACTGCTGTAGAGTAGGAGGAGGAGGTTGGAAGAGGTGGAGGAAGAGAGAGAGAAGAAGGAGGATCACGAAACACATTGTAGGAGGAGGAGGAGGAGGGGGACAAGGCGGAGGAGGAGGAGGAGGAGGGGGAGGAGGAGGAGGAGGGGGAGGCATAGGAGGAGGAGGTGAAGGAGGAGGAAATGGTTCGAGGAGCAGGCTGAGCCTGTGTGTTCTGCGCTGCCGCCCGTAGAATTGGACGGGATCCGATCGCCAGTCGGCCCCCGGCCTCGCTCCGGGGCGCCGCTCGCCGCGGCCGTGGCCGTCCTCCTCGAGCCGCGGGCCGCCGCCGGGGGGCGAGGGACACCCCAGCAGTTATGATGTTCCAACCTCCTCCTCCTCCTCCTCCTCCTCCTCCTCCTCCTCCTCCTCCTCCTCCTCCTCCTCCTCCTCCTCCTCCTCCTGTGCGCGCCGCCAAGGAGTTCGGGCCACGTGGGGCTTTAGCCTTGATCGCCACACATATTTTCGAGCCCCACAACAATATACCGAAACTCGATGGCTTTCGCGTGTCGGGCCCTGGGAGACACTCGTCCGACACAATTAATCGACGATCCCCAGGAAAGTATGGGAAAATATGGGAAGTGGGGGGGAAGACAAAAAAGCCCAGAAGATATGCGAACATATGGGGAAGTGTTTTATCTGTGTGTATCTATCTGTGTGTCTCAGGGCCCCTTCAGTTCTGATGTTCCAACCTACTTCAGCTTTGGTCACCACAAATATTTTCGAGCCCCACAACAGTACCGAAACTCGATGGTTCTCGCGTGCCGGGCCCTGGGAGACACTCGTCCGACACTATTTCGACACTCTTTCGACACTCTTTGGACACTTTTCCGGGGGCTCGAACTTATTTCTGGGATGTGGTCCTTAAGTAAGATGGGAACTACATACCCCAGCTGGCGGCAGAATGAAACCAACGATCTCTCGAGCTTAGATCGTGCCATGGTCTACTTCTGCCTGGTTACTACGGTCGGGAAGTTTGGGATAGCGCGTCGTTCCGCCGGTTGTGGCCCACCACGCTGCGGCGCCACACGGCATCCCCGTCGCGGCCCCCAGGCGTCCCCTTGCAGGACTTTTCCCAGCCTACCGCCCCGCTGAGCGCAGCGCTACGTCATCCGCTCGCAGGGCATAGCGTGTCGCCAGGGCCGCCGCCGCGACACGCGAAGCAAAACTTCCCGACCGCAGAACGTGTTGCGACCCATCGCGGCCACGTCATGTGTCATGTAGGCCGGGCCCCTGGTGCTGATGACGCAGGAGGCACGTTGTGGCTTGCACGTGCGTGCTGGTTCTTCTGGATTGTTGCTTTGTGTCTTCGCGTGGTCGCTGCCCGTGGACGCCTCGTGGGCGCCCCTTGAGTAGGTGTTCTGGGGCGTCGCCTGGTTAGCCCGCGGGCGCCTCGTTGGCGCCCCATGCGTTGGCTGGCGTGGACGCGCACGTATATTGCACCCCAGGAGGTGCTTGCATCCCGTAGGTCGGACCACATAGATGTTCAAAAGAAGAGCAGGCTCTACCACCCTATACACCTGGACTGATCGATACCCCCCAGGGACAGTACAACGTACAGACGATTCTTCCAGATCTGACACTTCCCATATGAATTCATACCATCCCATGCCACTCAGTATCGACAGCCGCCTCAAATCTCTGTCAAGTGATACTACGTATGCGCACTCACTCGTTCATCTCAAAAGGTACTATTCCACGAATCCCTTGCAACAGCTGGCACAACGTCCACACGCGCGCGGCCTCGCGCACATGTCGAAGCCATACTAGACAGAGCAAGGTCTGCTAGCATCTCAACCAGCGTACATCAAACACCCTTACATGCATCACGAAGTTGTGCATGTTCTACCCGCGCGCATTTGCTGAAATCGCCGGAAAACGATGTGAATGTGGCAATATCATACATCACGCGCGTTCCCACCTACCACGCGATGCTCCAGCAAGTGCCCAGTGCACGATTCCGTGTCGATTACCATGCGGGCCACGCGCACGCGCCGCCACGCGCGCGTGTCGAAATTCTTCAACACCATTGCCCATTGATTGCCGAAGCATCTCAAGATAGAGCTCTTCAAACACTGCAGGAAACAACGTGCGTTCCAACACAAGTCTGCCAGGTTGTTTGCATTTCCGCGCGCGCGCACGTCCGCACCATTGCCCGCATCAGCGCCTCCGCATCACAGCCGATATCGTCGTCCGTCAGGGACGCCATTGTCGCCATCATCAGCCATACACCTTAGCACCGACACGTGGACATCGTCATCGTCATCGTCTTCACCAGCATCGGCGCCGTCATATGCCTCGCCGTCGTCATCGCCACCATCGCCACCACCATAGCTACTATCAGTATCGTTGCTGCCTGTGTCGGCATCATCATGAAATCGCGCCCGCCCAAGTCATCGACACGCACTGAGGTGCCCGCGCGCCAGCGCGGCCTCTGAGACGCGCTGGGCAGATCCCATCGGCAAACGCCATTGCTGCTGGATCAGTTGTGCCAAAGCAGCTGGCTGCTCTGCGCGCGAGCTTGTGCGCGCTAGCGCGGCCGCAGAGATGCGCCACCCAGCGCCAAGCATATCCGCAATCGCGGCCGGATTGGTTCTTGCGATGCAAAATTCAAGTGGGTTGGTGGGATCGTTTTGCGAGCAGTGGAGTTGGCCACTCATTAGTGGACATTCGGTAATTCCACCACATAGCTCGCACCACACAGATTGCAACATATAGCTTGCACCACAGGGCGGGCACCACATGTATGGCTCTAAGGCCCACAGACTGCGAGCTCTAAGCGTTGGGAACCCACGCTGGCAGGCACACGCTGTACAAGAGGAGGTCGAAACAGACCATGGTGGCCACAATGCTGTGATAGCGAGGACGCCTTGCCCGCATGCCCCGACGCCCCACGCCCGCCCCCGCAGGGACCGTGCCGGTGGCAGGAATTGACCCCTTGGTTTCCTCCTGCCGACCGCGATGCCATTCAAACGTGTCCAATTCGACGCAAAGCGCCGATCCAGAGAAGCCTCGCTTCAAGGCCTCACGAGCCACAGGAATGCCTGGCGAGGGCACGGGCTTAAGTCTTCACTCCCATGGTTGCCAAAAGTGGTATTGGTCAAGAAACACTTGGAAGTGCAGAATACGTTCAGGATGAGCCCAAACGATGCCATGCCCAGCTGAAGATTTCACCACTGGGAGAGTTCGAGCTCAAGGGTCATCTGCCACAACCACGGCAGCTGTCTGTGGCGTGAGGTGCGGGGCTAGCACTGCAACGGGGAACCCATTCCCCAGCGGCCGCCAGCGCACTGCTTCAAGCAAAAGGAACTGCATGGCCAGGGTTCGTCCCTCGGCGAAACACTTAGTATAATTCTCGAACTTCTGGGGACTTGGTCGACGTAAGTGCGAGCCACAACTTGTTTAAGCTTCTTGTGCAACTTGCGTCGCTTCTCTTGCCACCGTCGAACATGTCGAGAGGTCCCCCTATGGGAAATGGCTCTACAACATGCCGCAACACGTCTAGATTCGATCTCCGTCGGCGATGAATCGGGCAATAATATACGCGTGCGTGCACGCCTGTCTGCTGCAGTTCGTCTGGCAATGCCATGCCAGACGGCAGAAAGCGTAGCAGCATAGCAGAATACCGCCTGCTCCCGGGTGGTGGAGGGGCATGAGGGAGTGCTAACCAGCATGAGGGAATGGCTCTTGGAGAAGAGTGGTTCAAGACGCGCTCCCGCTTTTCGGCCTCCTAGGCACCTCCAAAGGCAGCGGAACCGTCAAGAACTAGTCTGGATACGAATCTTGTCCTGGGGAGCGTCCCGGGCTCCACCAGGACCCGCATCCTTCATTCCAAGTTCGAGAGGCAAGCATACGTTGATGTCTCAATTGGCGGAGCTCTCTGGCCGGGGTGGGGGCCTCGTCCCCGCAGAGTGGTGCCAGTGTCTCGCCGGCCTGGGTGGGTGGGGCGCCATCCTGAAGCCTTCTTTATCTTCCAGTCCTGGGAGGCCCCTGGAAACCCCAGGAAGTCGTGAGAGGCTTCTGGAAGCTCCTGGGCACGTGAGCAGCGCAAGTGGGCCATCTCACTTCATCCTCTTGAGCTTTCCCCAGTGGATCTTTGAAGGGGCCAGTTAAGGCTACTGGAGGCCTGTGGGGATGCTTGGATCCTTGGGAGCCATTGGATCCAAGGCCCTGAAGGCCACCTGGAGGCCCTGGAGACCGAGGGGGGCCTGCGCCTCAAAACTGGTACGTGCGCCGTTCCAGAGAGTCATCTCATACACCTGTGAGAAACCATGGGGGCTCGACCCGATGCGTCGCATGTGTCTCGCATGTGTCTAGCCCACCCGCGGGGGCGCGAAGGCAATCGCGCTTCGCGCATCGCGCCCTGGGTCAGAGCGGTTACCCTCCTCCAAGAGGGCGGCTCAAGGGTGCGAAGATCATCGCGTCGCAGGCTGCGAGGGCGCGAAGATAGGTGACCGAGACTTGTGCGCTCCAAGTTCGCGCGCAGCGCGGACCACTGTAGACGTATCAAGGCCCCTCCCCAAGGCCTCATACCACGGGTGGGGGGTTGGTGCGGTGCCAAAAAGGCGTGATGGATCTTCGGTGTTTCTTCTAGTGGCCTGCGTGCCCAGGGTGTGGGGGGAGCATCGTCCAGACATCCTGCTCCGAGAGCTCTTCCTCGTTCTCCTTCTGCTCCTCCGTCTCGAGAGCTCGATAGGGCATTCCATTCCTCCTCGTCACCCTCCCGACTCGTGTGCACCCCCCCCTCACCTCGTGCTCCTTCTCTCGTGCCCCTCGTCCTCACCGCCCTCATCCATCTTCACTCCCCCTGCCCTCGCTCCCACCATTCCTCCTCCTGCTCCTGCTCCTGGTGCCGTCGGGGGCGCACGGGCGCCGAGGTCATGCCCTTCTGGTTCTACAGCGTCAAGAAGCTCGCGGAGAGCTCCGAGTACATCTTCGTGCTGCTGCCCGAGGGCACGCTGCCCGGAGACCTCCAGGAGCGCCCACGCCAGTCCGGGCCGCCCCAAGCGCGATCGGGGCCAGAGCACGTGCGGACCCGTGGAGATGCGGACCACTTCTGGTCCAGACGGGGCTGCAGGAGGAGGAGTAGGAGGAGGAGGAGGAGGAGGAGGAGGAGGAGGAGGACGAGGAGGATGGAGCCCGCGCAACTGTCACCAATTGGAAGCCACTGTGGGCCAAAATTCGGGCGGCGGCGGAGCGAGCTCTACCCATGACTCAGTATTTGGGAGGCACGTGGTGCCCGAGCTTCTGGAGAAGCGTGCCGTTTGCGCAAGAACTAGCTGAGGCGGCTTCGGGTTTTCCAGGTTCGGCCCGCTTGCGGGCTCCGACGGCGACTGCACTCAAAGCTCTGAAAGAAGCGCAGTCGGAGAACCCGCGGGCCCCTGTACAAAAGACGCTGGCTCGTTCGCTGGCCAAGTCGCTGTATCGGGAAAATATGGCTCCCACGATCTTCAAACGCCTGGAGAAGTGGGCGACACGCCCACCTTCCAAGCGAGCCTTGGCGGGATGCGACTGGCCCGCGATGAGAGACGCGATGGCCGAGCTCCCACCGGCATGGCAGGCATCGGTTCTAAAGACTGTGGTGGGCGGGTGGACGACGGAGAGGAGGATGACTCAAACCGATGTGCCTTGCAAATTCGGGTGCACGGATGCTGTCGACTCTCAGTCCCATTATCTATCGTGTCCCGCACTGTGGGTTGCCGCATCTATCGTATGGCATCCCGAGGTACCAGTCGAAGGATTCTTGGACGCTCTATTAGGCCTGGCTCGCTCGTTGTCCCCAGAGAGGAGAGCCATGGCACTGCGGCGATTGGTGCTAGTTTCTTATATGTATAATTCGGTGAAGGGATTGGGAGTGGCAGTCGATGATCCAGAGATTACAATTCATGCCCGTGCTGCCAGAGCGCAGTTGATACAACAGGTAGAGAGAGATGGACTAAGGCACACCTCATCCGAGCTACGTGCGAGGAGGAGGAGGATGGAGAAGGAGGGACGAGGAGGAGGAGGAGGAGGAGGAGGACGACGAGGTGTTTTTTGTCCATCCCTAAGACTCTGGTTCCTTGTTGGCTAAGACTCGGTCAAACGTCGGCTGGCTGTAGATGGGTCGGAGGATCGTGCCGCGTCGGCGATGCGGCGCGAGCGGGGGCCCGATTTTCGTTTCGGCGGTGCGGCGCTATCCTCTGACCCCATTTGCTCGCGCCCCGTTTGGGAGACACCTCGCCGGGTCGGGTCTGGCGGGCGCGCGACCCCCCTTCCTGCTCCGTCCCTTCTCTTGTTGATCACACTGCTCCTACTTCTGTTCCTGATCAACAGCAGCTTTAGCATCATGATCATGATCAGCAGTAGCATCATCATCAGCAGCATTATCATCCTCATCGTCATCATCATCAGCATCATCACTTCTTCCTCCTACTTCTTCGAGCTTCGAGCTGGTGGCCGGTGTTGCTTTTACGACCTCCTTCCACTCCTTCCGTCTCCGGCGATTGTCGCTTCGAGCCCGGCTTGTACGCCCCAGCCAAGACGCTAAAATGAAGGGCCATCTCAGGCTCAGGAGGGGCTCTTGATGGGCAAATGTTCCACCACCACTACCATGATATGTAGGACGGGGGAGAAGGGAGTATGAGGAGGTCCTCCTCCTTCTCCTCCTCCTCCTCCTCCTCCCTCCCCTACCTATGGTAGTGGTCGCGGAGAATGGGCCCATCAGCTTTGGATTAGGGCCGCTCCCTAGATCCAGGTCAGGGAGCCCAGTCGTAACCGAGTCTCGCTGTGGCCAGCGTGCCCCTTCGTTCCTGATTCGGCGCTCCTCGTGGCAACACGATGGCTGCATCCGCCGCCGTGCTGTGAGGCTGGGAAGGGCGACGGGGGCGTGGGGAGGCCTGGGGGGCATCATGACATGTTCCTTCTGGGATTTCGCGTGTGACCTTAGTTTTCCGTCGCAAGGCGGCCAGGTGAGCCTCCGAAGGACTCCGTCTTCGATGCTCCCGGGGGTCCTGGAACACGTTTTCAAAGAGCGAAGCTGTGACGACAGGTAAGGTGCCCGTCGCATACCTAGCGCGGCGCAGCTCGGTGGCGAACCTTCGCGGTGCAGGGTGCGGCATCGGTGGCGTTCGCTCCCCAAGCGTAGAGTTCGACTTTCGCTGCGGCGGTGGCCGTCGGCCGCGCGACCCTTGGCGCGCTGCCGGCCTCGTGGGGCGCTCTCGATCATCGTCGTGTCTGCAAGGTGGCTGCGTGCAGGAGAGCGCCGCTGCAGTGCGAAGCCACCGACAGGGCACGTGGCGACGGGGCGACGAGAGGGGCACAGGGCTGGAGCCAAAGATCCTCTGGAGAGCGACCGCCGCCACCCACTCACTACCAGCCTCGAACGCATCCCTATCCCTAAGATTGACACGCCAAAAGGCGATGACAAGCTTAGGGATTCGCCCTCAAACAATGAGGGAATCCCTAAGATTGGCACCGTGATGGGGAGGTGCCCAGCATAGGGATAGGGGTGTGCTCCAGGCCGTTGAACTCGGGGCACGGCGCGCAGAGGCCGCCCGTTCGCGCGGGTCGGGCTTGCGCCTGCTGGCGAGGACACGCGGTGCATCGCGCGCCTTGCCGCGGGCGCGGCGGGCGGAGCTCGTCGCCGGGGCGAGACGGGGGGCATGAGCGCGGCCGGAGCGAGGCCCCTTGCCGTTGTGCCGGCTGCGAGGGCGGGGTCGTGTTGGGCACGGCCGTAGTCAGTTCTCTTCGCTGGCGCAGTCTACGTATAGCTGTCGTCCATGGCCGTGCGCGGGAGGTTCGAGCGGTCCAGCGCATTTTCTTCTGAAGGCGCCGTCGGCAGCACCTGCATCGTCCGACGAGGTTCGCCGCTGCGGGCCTCCCACGTCTGCGATGGTGTGCGGCCGCGTGGACAGGGGCGTGGCAGCTGCAAACCCACAACGGAGCACGAGCGACTCGGACAGGGCTGCGGATGCCGACCCCATGCGAGCAGCTGCTCCGCCGGGAAGCTCCCGAGTGGCGAAACAGTTCAAAGGGAGGCATCCATCATGGGCATTGTCTGGACCTGGCCCATTCCGTCAGCTCCCGTTCACGCGGCAGGGCATGGATGGGAAAGGCGCGTGGTAAATGTCAACACACAGAGGATTGTGGATGTAAGGGCGAGGCGGAAAAGGCTGCAGGACGTGGATGAGGATGGCTGGATCGATATGCAAGCGAGCACGCAAAATACGGCGATGAAGGAGGCCCTCTAGAACTTGGCCGCGACCACCCACGTCGAGGCGTGGGTGGCAGTGCAGCTTCCGACCGCGTCGCAGAAGATAGAGGGGATAGCCCCAGCCCAGGGGACAAGGGGCACTAGGATGCAACTCTTGGGAGGTTCACTTCTGAATCGGCGTTGGTATATCCCTGGTCGAAGCCTGGCCTAGGCTGGTTGCAACCCCGCTCAATTCCGTTTGATCTGGCACAATCTCGTCCAATCCGGATTCTTCCGTGTTGAGCCATCTTATATTTGGCTCAGCGGTCCCCAGTCGGTCTTGATCGCCTTTAATGCTTCTGACGAAGACCTTCCCGGAGTTGCCTTCTAAATTGAAGGTGCACGTTTCGGTCAGCGACTAAGGCGGACGCCAACGCGGTCGGTCAGCCCACGTTGGGGATGAACGGGGCGATCAATGGTCGCCACGGGGAAGCTCGATGCGAAGGTCCATGCAGAGACGGGCACTGTTGCACGCTGTTCGCTCGGGTCCTGGACAGCTTGCGTCGCGGAACGAGCTCAAACTGGAAGGGGGCAGCTCGAACGGACATGGCTTTGGCGAGGGTGGGGGGCCCGTACACCGATCGTGCTGCCAATAGGTCTCATCGGTACGATCCCAACGTTGCGTGCATTATCACGGTGGCGGCCAACCGGGCGAACGCCGCCGGAAGTCGTGCGTCGGACGACCAACGAAGCGATCGGCGCACACCCTGCCAGATCTTTGCGCATGGACCCCGCTTCCGCAGCAAGCTGAGCAGGCGGGGCCTCCCCAGTCCAATCGGCCGGCTGGGGCGCCGAGCGCCGTCGGTGCTTCAACGGTTGAGCTGGTTGCCGCCTCCCCGTGCAGATGCTGCTGTCCGGAGGACGCAATGGAATAGTAGGGGGCAACATGCGAACCCTACCCCTACCCCCCACGATTTCTGAGGGGGAGGGTGGGGTTCACTTCGTTCGGGAGCTCCCCGAACGGGGGTAGGGTTCGCATATGGCCCCCTAAATAGATGGTGCACCGCGCGCCAGTTTCAACAATTTGGACAACGTTGTTTTGGATGTTCCCAGCCAGCGCAGGACAGCATTGAGCAGTTGTGCGGTACGACAGTTTGTTGCCGAATTTTTCAAACAGAAACAGACAGGGGGCAGCTCGAGCGACGACGGCGCCTGGGCGCGATCTGGGAGCCGTGGACCCCGCAGGGCAGGCAGACGACGCCCTCTCCCACAGGCGCGAAGGCAGCCCTGTGGCACGGAGGGGGGAGGGGAGGAGAGGAGGGGGGCAAGGCCTGGCGACGCGCACTCGAGCGCGACGCCACACGTCCACTGATGGAGCTGGCGCCCCGGGCTGCTTCAACAGATGATGATCACGACGACGACGACGACGACGAAGTCGACGACGACGACGACGACGACGACGACGACGACGACGACGACGACGACGACGACGACGACGATGTCGACGACGACGACGACGACGCAGTCGACGACGACGACGACGACGACGACGACGACGACGACGACGACGACGACGACGACGACGACGACGACAACGACGACGACGACGACGACGCGCAGCGTCGGCGCCCCCAGCGCGCGCCGCCGGGAGCGGCAGCGGCGCGGCTGCCCCCCGGCCCGCCCGCTGCAGGGGCGGTGCGCGCGGCGCTCCCGCTGCGGGCCGCAGCGGCGGCAGGCGACGCAGCCGGGCCCCTGCGAGGCCTCCTGCTCCTCCTCCTCCTCCTCCTCCTCCTCCTCCTCCTCCTCCTCCTCCCCCCCCCTTTCCTCCCCCCAGAGGGTCTGGGAACTCCTCCTCCTCCTCCTCCTCTCCTCCTCCTCCTCCTCCTCCTCCTCTCCTCCTCCCTCCTCCTCCTCCTCCTCCTCCTCCTCCTCCTCCTCCTCCTCCTCCTCCTCCTCCTCCCCCCCCCCGTCTCCTCCTCCCCAGAGGGTCTTGGAACGTACTCCCGCGGCTGCGGTGGGCGGCGCGCCTGAGCCCAGGCTGCGGGCCCCCTGCTGCCCGGCAGGGCCCGCGGCGAGGCACGCGAGGGGGGCGGCGGCGGTCGACCTCTGCGAGGCCACGCGCGGGGGCCACGCAGCGAGGGCGAAGAGCGCCTGCGCTGCTGCTGCCCCTCCGTCGAAGAATAGTTTTGCGCCACGAACATAAACTTTGAGCGCTCCGCGCGGATTTTTCTGGATCCTGGATCCGCGCTGGGCCTCCCGGCGGCGCCTCCGGCGCCTCCATGGGCTGGCGCGCTCCGCGCGCCAGGGAGGGGGGTCCAGCGCAGATCCAACACCTCCGCGCGGAGCGCCAAGAGTTCATGTTTCTGGCGCTGGTTCATTTGTTCTAATGACTGCTTCTCCTCCTGGCGCACCCTCCCCGTCACGCATTTGATGTTCACGGGCGCGCCCGGTCGCTCGGGGTCCCCGTGCAGCAGGAGACGGGCTCGGGGACGCGGGCGCGGACAGTGCGGCGCAGCCGAGGGAGACCTCATGGAGCCACAGGGCCGAGGCGGCGACTCGCGTGATGGAGGGGGCCCGTGGCTTGCCCACGCATTCCGTGCCCACTGGTGAGCTGGGCGTGGTGTTGGACATCGGCGCCCCAGCTGGACAGCAGGAGGTGAATCTGGACTCGGCCGCGGCTCGTGAAGGGCGGGGCTTGTGATGGTCGTGGCCACCCGCCTCGCCAGGCTCCAACCCGTCGATCTCGCTCTGGGCGAAAACGCACGGCGCACAGTGGTCTGTGGTCTACTGGACGGCAGCTCTCGGCACTGGGCAGTATCCCCCTCCTTTGTCTCGTCCCTCGTCGTCCTTGCCCTCGTCTTTGTCTTGGTCATCCGCATCTTGCTCACCTGCCTCGCCCTGATCACGCCATGAGCATCCTCATCCTCGTTGTGAGGGACGTGAGAGGCCGGGGGGGAACGTGCGGGACAGACGGGGGAATGGGAGAGGTGGATGGGAGGAGACACGAGCAACATCAGGAGCACGAGCCTGACCAGGAGCAGGAGGCCATGCCTCTCTACCCCCCCCCATCGCTGCACAGGAGAACGCGAAGAAGCGGCTGAAGGGCCTCAAGAATGACACCCCCACGCTCGTGTACTCGATCCTCAACTTCGCAGGCGTCGCCCCTCCCTCCCCCACCCCGTCTGCATTACCAGCAGATGGTTCCAGCTACGCTGGCAAGTCGCACAGAAGAGAGCTCATCGGAGTGGAACCACGTGCAAGTGCGAACGACATGGAGGACGACGCATACAACTATTACGAAGGCGAATGCGACGCGAATGCGAGCAGTAGGGCCAGCCAGGAGGACGACTGCGACGAAGCCGCATACGTCTTCGATCGAGGGGCAGCGGTAACGGTAACCAGGCATCACGTCGGCCCTAGGTATTGTGCCAGCATGTTAATCGCCGCTTCTTGTCGCTACTTCATCTCTCTTCCCTTCCTGCCCCTCCCTTGAGAATGAGGAGAAGAGGATGACACGGCAGGAGGAATATGATGACTCAGAGGGATAATACCAGATTTAAGAGGGTGTGGAGGGGTGCGAGAAGAGACAGAGGGGAGAGAAGGAGGAGACCTCCTGCCCCCATTTCGTCCCTCCCGCTCCCTCTCCCTCACGCATGCCACCTATAATGAGGCTCCCCTCGTAGGCATGTGTCCGTCGCGCTTTAGTCAGATCATGCCACGCAGCATCGAGTCGGTGTTGCTGCTTGCAGCAGCGTTGCCATCATTTCTGGTGACCGCCTGGGCACAGTGCATTGCCACTACGGCTGCTCAATTCCCCAAATGTTGTAATTTGCCCTGTGCGTACGACTCTTGTAAAATGCCTTCTTTCGGAGCCCTACATGCAGAGGCGCGCTCATCTTAAAAGCTTGTTGCTCCCGAGCGAGACGCAATAACAGCTGAGGGTAATGCGGAGAGACAGGCGGTGGATGTTTCGCCTCTTCTAGTTCTCAAGCGTGGGTGGCAAGTTGCGTTGCAAATCATGTTCTGGTGTTGGCGGTCGGACGATCATTGCAAACGGAGAGAGCGAGAGAGGGACAACGAGAGATAGAGACAGGGAACTTGACATCTAACATAACCGCAGACAAAGAGAGAGAGAGAGAGAGAGAGAAAAAAAAAAAACGAGAGAGAGAGAGAGAGAGCAACAAACAAAGAGAGACAAACTAAACAATAAGCATGCGGTATCACTAGATGACATGAGCATGTACATTATCTCTGGTTTAGCTATTTCGCTTCGCCGCTGTGCTACGAACTACGCACGAACACATCATCTGTCGTATTGCTGTGCATGCCGTTGCAGGGACATCCATCGGCACGCGCAGTGACTCTCGCGCATCAAAGGTCGACCCAGTGTGCGCTCAAAGGTCGACCAAAACGTGTCGACGTCAGAGGGAGCAGTCCTTTCCCAAAGGCGGCGGGGCTTCCCAGCACTCCAGCCTCCTGAGAAGCCGTCGGCGTCTTCGGAGACGGCCTAGAAAACTTCTCAGAAGTTCGGAGGGGGTTCGAGCTTTCTGAGAAGGCCCACCCCTAGGCGACGGCGATCACGGCCACGGCCACGGCCACGGCGGCGGCGCTGGCGCCAGCGCCGGCGCTGGTGACGACGACGACGACGACGACGGCGACGACGAGGACGACAAGGCGCAGATACACTCGATGGCAGCAGACGATGCGCTCGTGACGTCTCGGGGAAGCAGATCGGCAGGCGCCGTCTTCGACAATTTGTATATGGCCGTGTACACCTGGCGTGGCCCCGCCGGCTTCTGGGGGTGGTCCGCGCCGCCCCTTGGACGGCCATGCTTGCGCTCAGGAGCGAGTGACGCGATGAGCAGCGATAATGAGGAGGAGGAGGAAGAGGAGGAGGCGGAGAAGTCGAGGAGGAGAATACGACGGAGAGGGAGTGGGAGGAGGAGGTGGAGCAGGAGGAGGAGGAGGAGGAGGAGGAGGAGGAGGAGGAGAAGGAGGAGCGAGGAGGCGGAGGAGGAGGAAAAGGAGGAGGAGGAGGAAGAGGAGGATGAGGAGGGGGAGGAGCAGGAGGAGGGAGGAGGAGGAGGAGGAGGAGGAGGGCAGGAGCGAGGAGCGAGAAGCGAGGAGGAGGAGCGAGTAGGAGGAGGAGGGGGATAAGGAGGGGGAGGAGGAGGCAGGAAGAGGAGGAGGAGGAGGAGGAGGAGGAGGAGGAGGAGGAGGAGGAGGAGGAGGAGTTGGAGGAGGAGCGAAGGGGAGCGAGGAGGAGCGAGGAGGAGCGAGGATGAGGAGAAGGAGGTGGACTTGGAGGTGGAGGAGGAGGAGCCAGGAGGAGGAAGAGTAGCGAGGAGGTGGATGAGATGACGGTGGAGGACGAGGAGGAGGAGGAGGAGCATTGAGGATGGGCGAAGATGAACAAGGAGCGAGGGGCGTTCGCGGAGGCCCGATCACCCTCGGCACCGACGAGGAGCGAGAGGCGAAGAGCAGGAGGATGGTGAGGAGGACTTGAAGCGATACCGCTTTGGGGTGCCTTCACCCAGTTAGTGGGCACAGCTTCCCGGTGGTACCACGCTGGAGGAGGAGGGTAGCGGGGAGGAGGAGGAGGAGGAGGAGGAGCAGGAGGAGGAGGAAGAGGAGGATGAGGAGCAGGAGGAGGAGGAAGAGGTGGAAGAGAAAGGGAGGTGAAGGAGGGGGGGGGATGGAGGACGATGGAGAGGATCTGGAGAAGCAGTGGGGGAGAAAACCAGATGGGAAAAGAAGCGGGGAAGATGGAGCATGTATCCAGCGGCTTCCGTTTGGTGCCGGGGCTCTTCTTTGGGCGCCCGAGTCGTCCCGAACGGCCGCTTGAGGCGCAAATTCAGACCCCAAACGCCTGCCTGCCCATCGTCGTTGTCCTCGCTGTCGTCGTCGCCGTCGGCCCCTCCTCGCCGTGGCCGGGCAGGCCTCGAGGAGCTGGCTTGGGAAGGGGGACGGGATGGGGGGAAAGGGGCCACTTTTGTGTTGGCCTTGCCTCTCTTACGCGTGGACCGACGGCTTGGCTTCATTACGGTCGGGAGATGCTGGTGAACGTGTCGCTCCGCCGGTTCTGGCCCACCACGCTCCGGCGCGACACGCCGACCACGTCCGTAGCCATTTTGGCTCAAGCCCGAGGTGGCTCATAGCATGATTATTCGCCTATTCGCCTCGCCGCGTCCCGCACGGTTGCCCCACCTTTGTCGCGGTGGCTCTGCCGCACAGGTGAGTTTCCATGGCGCCCAAGGCTCGGCGGGGCCTCCGCTCCGAGCTCCGAGGGAAAGCAGGGGCGAGTACGTCGAGGCACCAGGTTTGGGTGCGACAGCTCATCGACCCTCTGTTTGCGTTTGTCCAACAAAGGGAGAGGAGGGAGGCGATCCGGCACATCCGCCGCATCATCGACAGGTTGCGCGCGGCTAAAGGAGGGCAATGGAACACGGTAAGGAAGAGAGCTCTGCGCCGGTTTCCCCGCACGCCAGGCTGGCGCCGCAGGCCGGAGTGCGCATTCGAGAGCTCATTGCTGCGCTTGCCCACAGCCACCCGCAGCTGCTCAGTGCAACCCTGGTAGCAGAACGTTGGGGCACCGCTAGCGAGCGGGACGGCTGGATGGACGAGAATCTCCCGGTTGCCTACCATGGTTGATTCCCGGTTGAACCAGGGAATCCGCTTATTGAGCTCGGGCAGCGGTGGGCCTTCCTCGGTTTGCACCGTGGCGCCGTGCTGCGGCGGCCTCCCCAGCCAGGCCGCCCGCGCCCGCTGCCGGCGCAGCCAACAGCAAACACAATGTCCCTCTTTTCTCTGCTCCGTCCGGCGCGGAGAACCTCGGCCAGCCTTGCCAAGGCGGCGCCCGCCGACGGGCCCAGCCCGGAGCAAGAAAGACGCGAAGGGAAGGGAGTACGACAAAGTGCTGGCTGCAACGCTCGAGCTGTTCAACAGCATCGGCAGCGGGGCTGGCATCCTGAGGGGCCTGGCTGCGTCCACCTTATCATCAGCTGCGCAGGAAGACCGGCTCACGAAAATCATTCGGGGCAGCACGCCTTCAGCAGGAACTTTGCGCGCACGCATTGCGGAAACCAGGTTGCGGCAACCTGGATTTCTTCGAGTGGGGTGATACAGTAGGTCTTGGCGCGGCAGATGCCGTGCAGCGGGAGTCCAACATCGACGTCGCTGCCTGCCTGGTGTAAGGGGGACATCCGTTCCCAAGACAGCTGCATCCACTTTCGCAGCCGATACCAAATGCTGTGGCATGGGCAAGGCGACGGGGCCTGAGCAGGCTACGCCTTTCGAGACATACCACGTGAAGCAGGTTGAGTCCGTTCGCATCAATGCCTCCAACCCCGTGCACTCTGGCATTTCGGGCTGGGCCGCGCTGCTAGCACACGCAGGTTTGCGCGGAGAGCGTCTGGTGCCGCGTTCTTGCGGCATCAACCGGGGCATTTTCTTTGGCGTGTGCCGCGGCCCTAAACCGCAGGGGGTATCCAACGTGCCCTGGGCTGCTCTCCGTGGCGGCGTCTGTTGACGCGATTTGGGTACATGTTTGTGGAAGAACCTCCTGTCGGAAGTCCACGAGCGCGCCCTGGACTACTGTCTTCCGGGCATCAGCCATAACGGCGCGAAGTTCGAATGGCACCGCTGGGCGAGCAAACGCGACCAAGTTTCCACAGTCTTGTTCGTGTTCACGTACGTCGAGGGAGACTTCCTTCCCTATCGGCGAGAGCGCTGCGCGGGAATTCACCCCTCGATTGCCCCGCTTCCTCCACAACGCTGTCGGTTGCTCGTTTGGCTTCACTGACCGCGGGAGGTGCATTTCCGGCAACTGGGCGCCGGGGAGCTCAATGCCTCGCATGTACGATGCTTCCGTGTGCGGTGAGCAGCTCTTGCGCCGAGGGGAGCTTCTCGGGCTGCTGCGCGCCGGCTGGGAGCCTCCGGCGGCGGGCTGTCCGGGCGTGCCGCGCTCCCCCGGGGGAGCTGCTGCGATCCTGTCCCGCAGGCGGCCCAATTGTGGTCAGCGAGATGGGTGCGCGCGCCGGCCCCAGGGCTGGCGCGCTCGCCCGAGCACGTGCGTCGGGCGCTGCAAGAAGCGGCGCAAAACTATCTTTTGCTCGGCCATTCGTCCGCCCTTGGCGATACCCGCTCTTCAGGCAGCCTGCGCGCTAAGTGTGGGCTTGCGTTGCCGAGCGGCGCCCGTCGCGTCGGCTCTTTCGACGACGCGGCGCAGTCAGGCTACTCAGTGTGCGGTCGGGCCTGCAGCGGCATCCGTTGCAGCGCCGTTTCTATCCCACCATCATGGTAAGTCTACCTCAGGGAGTTGGCTCCTTCCGCCCTGCCGGAGCGCGGAAAATTGGGCGCGTCGGGCGGCGGGGCGCCCCAGTATCTGGACCCGCCCGCTTTCAGTTTGAACGAGTTTCCTTTTGCCCGCAATGTGTTCATATCATTTGCGCGGTCTTGTGGCTCGTCCGACTGCCCGTGGAACTCGCCCTGCCCGCGGCATCAGGGCCTCGGGATCGTGCCGCTGGGCCTTGGGACGCATGGCCCCGCGGTGAAAGCACAATGTTGGGCGTCCACCCACGGGCTACAGGTACAACTGATGCAACAATCATGACTTTAGGCTCATTGTTGCTTCCGTGTGAGGGGGCTAAACGGTCTTTCTCTGTCTCCGCAACTGCGGGGTGCTTCGTTGTTGGCTTTTGATCCATGGTATAAGCCGCCAGGCGGCCCTGCATGGGATCTCCTGGCGACGCCTACGCGCAAGTAGCAATTTGTGCGAGGCTGTGGGCTTAGGCAGGGATGAGGTGGCTGAGGCTTACTGCTACCCAGTGTTGCATGGTTCCTCCCTCCCCTTCTCTTTCTCCTTCTGCAATCCCTGAGCATGCGTTTGGAGTCCTGTTTTTGGTGGCTGCCTGACTGCGTCGGGGGGGCCCTCCCTGCCCAACCTGTGCTCCCGCAGCTTCAGGTGGCTCAAAGTGTGATTCGCCTCGTCGCGTTCCGCACGGTTGCCCCATCTTTGTTGCGGTGGCTCTGCCGCATAGGTGGGGATTTGTTCGCCCGCCAGCTGTCCCCCAACAGCCGCCCAACGAGATGGAAGCCGAGCTCTCGCAGATCCTGGGGGGGCTCATCGTGGACCAGTCGATCTGCACTGTGGTGGCCCAGCGGGATTGCCTCAAGTTGCGGCAGTTCGTCGGGTTTGGCGACGACATCAAAGACTGGACGGGGATCCTTGCGTCGATGGAGCCACCGATCCGAGAGAGGCAACACGTGGCTGCGACCCGCGCGCGTACAAGGCTGCGGCGCTGCGGGATGAGGAGCGGGCTCGCTGGGGCAAGGACGAACCTGGAGAAGACATGGATTCGCCAATCGACCCGGTCACGCGCAGGACTCATTGAGGCCCACACCAAGCACTGCCGCTTCCCTGCGCAGTTGGCCCGCCAGCCAAGCGATTCGCTCCTTGGCCGCATTTCTCGTGAGCGGAAGCGTGGCACCTACGCGGTCATCAGCCTGGCTAAGGCCACGCGCGTGGCCTCCCAGCGCGCCCACCAAGCCTTTCGAGCTTGTCCCGGGGATCGCCTCCACTCTGGGGGCACGCGGCCATCTCCCAGATATTGGGCACTAGTCCTTGAGTGTGGCGCAGTGACTGCTCAACGTTCGGATCCTGTGCGACGGTTTATTGCGAAGGTGTTGCGGCCGGCGCCGCCGACCCTGAGGTTGGGGAGGAGGGCGCAGAGCATGGGGGGGAAAATGAGGAGGGGGACAGGAGGAAGAGGTGGATAAGGAGGAGTAGGACACATAGGGGGAATGAATAAGAGAAAAGTCAGGCGATCAGGGTCGCGGGGGGGGGGACACGAAGGAGGGGTAGGGGCGAGTAGAGCGTGGCGATCATGAGGAGGAGAAATATGGAGATGATGGCGAGAATGTTGATTATGTTGACGACGGCGCCGGTTGCCTATCAGGACCATTCGGGGCGTTTCCCAGCCCCCTTCTGGGGCGACTTCCAGGCTTCGTTCGCTGTTTTGAAACTAGTTTCGGCATCTTGGGCATCTGCGGGGCCACGGAGGTGCAGTTAGCTTTGGAGGGCGCCGGGACCTGGGCCACGGCCCGGGCCGGAGCGGGCCGGGAGCCAGGGCCAGGGCCGGGGCCAGCGAGGCGGGAGCCGGGGCCAGCCGGGACCGGGGCCAGCCAGGGCCGGGCTGGGGCGGGCAGTCGGGCCGGGGCCGGGACCGGCCGAGGCCGAGGCCGGGGCTCTTCGCCCGTCTGAGGCTTTGCGTGGGCCCCGGGACCCCCAGGGGGTGGGTCTGACGCGGGACTCCCCCGGGACCTCCCCCGGGCCCCCCCCCAGCAGGGGAGGGATCAAAGAGAAAAGGCTCCCGTTCGACTCAATGACAACGTTGCTCTTGAAGGGGACGGCGACGGACCCAGGGAAGAGGGGGAAAGGGGAAGAGGGGAGACGGGCCCAGGGAAAGGGGGAGCGCAGGGACAGGAGACGACTGAGACGACGAACGAACGACGGGAACGGACAAGCCCGTCACACACGCCGACACAGGATCGGCGGATTTGTCATCGGGATCAGAAGGTGCGTGAACAAAGCGAAGGAAGAAGTATTATGGTGTTTGTGGCCGCTGGCGTCACACTTCGTGGACACCCTGGTGGACTTGGCTACGGCCAACATCCTGGGCACCAAGGTCAGGCCCAGCTTGGGGGCCCTGCAACTCGCCGAGCTGCAGCTCCGCGCGCGGATCGTAGAGCTGCTGAGGCAGTCGCCTGTGGACCAGCCAATTTCATTCGATGACGCCGTCCACCTGCAGGCGGCGTTCATTGAAACGCAGAGCCTGTTCCGTTTCACAACTTCGCAAGCCGCGGCGACGCAGGCATTTGCGGGGGGGGCCTTGGTGTCGGGCAGCCGCAGGACCGCCATCTTAACGGCTTCGACGACGGCGCGGTGAGCAGGCGGCGCACGGGTGCGGCGTCTGGAGGTTCTGGCAGGGGAGGGGCGGCGAGCCGGCCTTCGGCGGCGGCGAATCGCGCCCAAGGCCGAGGTTCGCACGCACGCGGATGGTGACCTCATCCCGCACTACACCACCGCCGGCTATGCCCCACACAGGTGCAAACACAAACGCCTCCAGCAGAAGGTCATGCTTTGCTGCGACACCTGGGGTTGCTTCAAAACGCACCCCAGGTGGGGGCACGAGTGATGGCCTGCGGGCGTGGCACCAAGTGCGCCGCCCACGCCCGCGCTGGCGATTGATGGCGTGCCGCGGAGGGCCAGCCCCCCTGTTGCAAGCCGGAATGGCAGCGGTGCGTTTTGCGTGCCTGCACTTGGCCCCCCGTGCCCCGCCCAGGCGGTGCGCGCGGCAGGTCTCGCGGTTTACTCTGGCAGGCAGCCCCGGGGTTGTTCGGTTGGCCGGTTGGTTATTGACCTGCCGACGGCAGAATTCTTAGAATACGTTTTGGCGAATGTTGTTCGCCCCCAGGCGCGACCGTGCCCCTTGCCTGCCAGGGCGGCTGGTCCAGCGTGTCCTCCGCGTGGCTGAGCTCGACCACGAGGTCTTGCAGCGTCGATGGAAGCTGTGCTCCGCGTTCCTGCGGAAGTAGGCGGAATCGGTCGCAAGCTACGGCCGCTGGAGGTCCAACCTCATCGTTCGACCAGGAGCTGCTGTATGGGAGTTGGAATTGTCCGTTATTCCGCCAGCTCTTGGCAGAGGCGGGGCACGAAAACATGGGCTTGAGCTGCTGGAGGGCATGCCTGTCGTGGGTCTCGCGAGCGACAGCGGCGTTCATTCGGTAAGCCCACCACGCCTGCCATGTCCGTCTTCGAGTTCTGGCAGCAGGTTCCGGCGCGCAACGCCGCCATCATCGGGAGGTGCGGTCCCGCCCACGACCCCGTGCTGGCTGAGCGGGCGAGGAGAAGACGCATGAGGAGTTTGCACTAAACCTCATGGGGGGGGCCCTTCGACGCTCTGGAGGCGTGCCCCGGCGCGGACAAGGTCTTCGTTCGATGCAAGCCCCGGCGGCAGGATAACGACGTTCGGAACATCGATGAGTGCTCGGAAGACAACATCAATGCCACCTTCGGCAGAAACGCGATCTACCGCCCTGCAGGGGTGGATCATCACGATTCCGTCGTCAGGTTTTGGGAGTCGTTTTGCCTGGGCGCTCGCCTCAAAGGCTTTGTCGCGGACCTGTGGAAGCACTTCAGACAAGTGCGAGTGGGCCTCAACTTGGTAGTCGTTTCCTGGTGCACTCGCACGAAACGCGTGCGATTTGGGCGCCTTCGTGGTAGCTCGTTCGGTGCGGTTGGGTGTGTCCAGACGTGTGCAAGGCTGCCCATGGCCATGTACGCTTTCCTGCAACATCTCTTGTTGGTGCCAGTGCAGCATTATCCGGATGACCATTCTTGTGTCGAGCCGGAGTACAGCGTAGCTCAAGCGTGGACTTGTTTGAGCATGTTATATGACATGGTGGGGCCTAGACTCGCTGAGCCGGGTGGTCCTAAGTTCATCTTGCCTGCCTACTAGTCCAAACTACTAGGCATTTGGACGGACCTATCCGCTTCGTCGCGTGAGGCGCGGGTCCTGCCAGCTCGCATTGATGCTATCTCCAAGGATCTCCGCGCCGTCCGGAACACAGGGCGCCGGAGCCGCGGGCTCGCGGCAGAGTTGCACTGCAAGCTGGCGTTCGCTTCGGGGCAACTCTTCGGTAGGTTTGGCCGCGAACTTCCTTCACCTTTCAAGCGGCGCCAACGCAGGCACGGGCGCCACAAGCTGAATGACAGCATCGTGGCTTCGATCGACTTCTGGCGCGGCGTCCTCCCGTTGGGCCCGTTCCCGGTGGCGCCGCCGGGGCCGAGTGCGCCCTTCGCGGTTATGATGAACGACGGCGAAGGCTTCGGCAGAATTGCGGCTGCAATTTGGAGCCCCATCGGCGAGGGAGGCGCGGCCTGCCCCCAGTGGTTCCAGCTCGACCTCCCTGCGGAGGTTCTCTACGAGTGGTCGCAAGGCGACGGCGCCTGGGTGAGCAGGCGGACTAACAAGATAGAGTGCGTCGCGCCGGCAGTGTGCTGCAGCACGTGGCTAGCATCATGGCTGATGTAGTCGGCGACTTGCGTTCGCAAGTCCCTGCGCTTTCCTATTGGCCGTGTGTTGACCGCGTCCCGACATAATGCAATATCGTTGGGAGTCTACCACGGAAGCGCTTCGGTGTGGCCATCCAAAATTGTTGGGTGCGAGACCACCCGGTGCTACCTCCGCCGCTGCGGTGGTAGGCGCCCGCCCTTTGTCGCGCTCGCGCGCAGGGCACGGGGGCCATACCATTCAGTGCCATTTTCCGCCGCTGCGCTGGGACGTGCCCGCCCTTTGTCGCGGTTGCGCAGAGGGCAAGACCGGCCGCTCAAGTATTTTTGCGTTTCAGCATCCTTCGCGGTGCATGGCTGCGCAGACTTGTCTTCGCGCCTTCAATGGGCGCCCTTTTCACAAGGCTGGGACGCACGATCCCGCGGTGAAGTCGCAATGTTGCGTGTCCACCCACGAGCTGCAGATAACAATGAGAATGATGTAACCAATATGGCTTTAAGTTCATTGTTGCTTCCGTGTGAGGGGCCGGACGGTCTTTTTCTATTTCCGCAACTGCGGGGTGCTTCGTTTCTGGCTTTGATTAAGAGTGTAACCCACCAGGCGGCCGTGCGCGGGATCTCCTGACAGTGCCCACGCGCAGGTAGTCCTGATTTTTGCCTGGCCTCCTGTCCCGGTGCGGGGAGCGACACGCTATCCACTCGCAAGGCATAGCGTGTCGCCAGGGCCGCCGCCGCGATTCGCCAAACAACAGTTCTCGACCACACGAGGTCCCTTTGTGGAACCGAGGCGCTGGGCGTCGCGCGCTCCAGGCTTGTGCCGTGGCTCGGACGCACCGCAGCGAACGGCCGCCGAGGTCTGCGCAGAACATTCCAGCGGTCAACGACCACCTCCGCACGGGCCTCGTGAAGCCCGCCTTTGGCTCGCTGACGATCTCTGTGCTGGCCGGGCGGGCGTTTAACAGAACGAGGAGCAGTTGAGGATGAGCAGGAAGGGCAGCAGCTGCAGCAACGGAGGCTGGGAGCTCTTCCGTCCATGTCCCAGGGTATTGGGGCCGCCGGTGAGGGAGGCAGCTCTCGAGCAAACCCAGCAGTTGTCTTCTTCGGCGTCCACCTCCTCACCACCACAATGATCATCGTTATCCGATCTTCCTAACGACCGTCTTCATCACACTGATCTTTGTGCATGCGCAGCCAATCCTCATTTTCCACTCTCTCATCCTCATGTTCCTGCCTTTTCTGTTCCTCCCCACCCATACTGGTACAGTTCCTCCTTCGCATCTTCCTCTGCCCCGTGTTCCTCGTCGTCATTACCCTGATGCTGCTGCTGTTCCTCCTTGAGTTCCCTATCCTCTTCGTCAGGAGCGTCCTTCTCCTGATTATGCTGCTGTTGTTTCTTCTTCTTCTTCTTCTCCTCCTCCTCCTCCGCTGCGACTACCCTCTACCAATGTCTTGCTCTTCTGTTCCAGATCATGATCCTGGTCCTCCTCCCGCTTGTCCTCCTGATGCTGCTGCCCCTAATTTTCCTCCTAGCACACATTTATCCTTCCTTGTAGCCCTCCCCTCTTCGTCGTCCTGCGTCTGCTGCTCCCGCTTGCCCACAACCTTTTTTTCTCCTCCAACTCCTGCCCGCAGGCTAGCTTCACGCTCCTTCTGTCGCGGTTGGGCTGAAGTACTGAGTCTTGCCCCTCGTGGCTTGGCCAGGCTGAGACCCGAAGCGAATTCGACACCCTGAGGCCCACACTTCCTCTCGTCGTTATGCTCAGCGTCGCCTCCTCCTGGTTTCCACAGCGTCCCCCTTTTACTCCCCTATCATGGTCCACTCCGCCTACTTCTCCTCCACATTCACCTCCTCCTCTTCCTCATCCTCCTCCTCCTTCTCCTCCTCCTCATGTTTGACCAGTGCTCAGAAGTCACACAGATTAGGAGGTCCCCCGCTAGTTCTGGAGGTGCAAACTGATGGTAATCAGACCGAGGGGTTGAACGGCTTTTAAACTGTCCCTGGGTGCGGGGTGCAGTGGGCTTCCGCACTGCGGATTCTCGTCGTTGGTGTCGGCACCCGCCTTGCAACCTTCTGGCGACCCGCCCGCAACTTGCCCGCGACCCGCCACGCAACCCACCCACGACCTGCCCGGCGACCCACCCGCCAGCCAACCACGGCCCACTCACCTCGTTTTGAATACAGTGAGCGGCTCGAATATGGAACACTTACTTTTCAAAAGGTGCTCGGTCGTTCCTAAGGCTTGCATGCGTTATGTATCGTTCCTTTTACGTTATGTGTGATGTATCCTTCCTTACGCGTTACTCCTCGAAAAAAAGACTTCGTTCCTTATTTTTTACGTTCCTCAGGTCAGGCCGACGACTGTACATCGCCGTCCAGTTTTTGTTTTCAAGAAATCCACGGTCCATTGGCGACCTTCCCGCGGCCCGCATGTTTCGAAACAAGACCGCCGCCTGCAGCGGGCTGTTCCGCTGTAGCCATTTAGAACATGACCATTCGACCGCCCTCACGGCCCGCCGACCCGCGAGCGACCCGCCTGGTTTTGAAAAGCCGGCTCTTGCGGCGGGCTCTTCGCATTGGCCATTTAGAACAACATAGTGCGCCCCAGCTGGCACGACTCGATGACGACCCTTCTTCGACCCACTCGCGTCGTTTTTTGAAAACCACTCGGCGCCTGCGGCGGGGTATTCGGCATCAGCTTCGAAGACCACCTTGGTGCGAGCGCGTTCGCACGACCCGCCGACAAACCTTTTCCTCGAGCGTCCCACCCTCCACGGGGGGAAGTGGCAATCGTCCCCGGCCGGAGAACAAATCAAAAAACAGTCGTCGGGAATCAGGAGACCGGCCACCCCTGCCGACGTCGCCTTCCCGCCGATCACCCCTCGGCGAGCGCGGGCGCGCAGCAGGCAATGGAGAGCAAGCTTCGAGCGCCGAGCGTGTGGCACTGGACAGGCAGGTGAAACAACAAGACGACCCGCCGACAGACTTCCCGCCACCTGACCCGCGCTCGTGTGGAACAATTTGGCGCCTGCGCCGCCCGACGCCGAGCAAGCAGGGGGCACTGTGCAGGGGCAGCTTGGTCGCAGACCTGGCAGGCGTGGAGCATGGTTCAAGCAGTGGCGAAGCGTCCTGGCTCGCCTATAGCCCTACCAAACAATGTAATGTTCTAAGAACCTCTTGTGGCTTCCAGGAAATGTTCTTCGAACATTTCTGGCTGGGACTGTCTTGTTTTAACACATCGGGAATATGTTCTAAGAACGTTGTTTTTGTTCATAGAACATTCTGGATTCTAAGAACAGTTCGTGGTAGGACTATAGGAATGCCAGGACGGTCGGTTCCTGCTCAACCCTCTGAGCGTTACCTGGGTGCTTTCGAAATATTCGTTTGCTGCTCAATCGGCTCTAGTCCGAACAGGCTGGCTGCAGCTCCCAGGGGGAGCAGAAGGGAGGGAGGGGAGAGGGAGAGGCAGGAGGAGGATGAGGCGTGAAGGAGGGGGTATGCCCAGGTGTTCCTTGGCACCCTGGTTTATCGGAAGAAGCTGTCCAAGGAGGCGGCCACCGTGCTGAACGTCATTCTGGCAAGTAGCGTAGTTGCCAGACCTCGCTGGGGCGGTCGGTGCGGAGTGGAGAGGGAGGTGAAGGGGAAGGCCCGGAGGGGGGGAAACCGAGGGAGGGGGAGCAGGGGAAGTTGGTCGAGGGAGGGGGAGATGAAGGGGGGGGGGGGGGGGGCAGGAACGGGGAAGGGTGAGCAGGGAGAGGGGTGGTGTTTGGGCAGGGGAGCGGGAGGAGGGAATGGGAGGGAGCGCAGCGCAAGGCGAAGGGGGCATCCTTCCCCGCCTCTTCGGCAAGGTTTTAATAAAAGGAGGAGGAGGAGGAGGAGGAGGAGGAGGAGGAGGAGGAGGAGGAGGAGGAGACGGAGGGAGAGGAGGAGGGCGCTCCATGCTGGGTTCGTGCCCTTTTCCCCTGCCCCTCGTCGTTCTCTCGGGCCCCTCCTCGCCTCCCCTGGAGCGCGTGGCGTTTGGAAAAAAGGCATTGGCCGGCGCGCGCGCGCAGCCTTTTCTCTGGAGGCCTCGCGGTCGCGTCGGGTGCAATCCAGCGCCGAGGCCTCAGGCCATGGCTGGGCCGTTTCTGAATTCAATAAACCAGCTTTTGAATTAAAACCGGTTTTCGAATTCAGAAGCCAGTACTTTTTAAAATTTAAAATTTGGGTTTTGAATTCAAGGACAGGTTGTTTGAATTCTAAAACGAGTTTTAAATTCAAAAACGAGTTTTTCCAATTCACAAACAAGTTTGTTGAGTTCAAAACTTTTTTGGGGAATTCAAAAACCAGTTGTTGAATAACAAATGGTGGAGTTGTTTTGGATTCTGGATTTGTCGTTGGCTCAATTGCAGTTACTGCTGCTCCTAGAGTTCTGTCGAGTACGCGCTGACCACTGATGGAATTGATCTTCTGCTCCCAGGCCTCTCGTCTTCTGATGGTCATGGACCGTCACCGTCTCGGTTCCTCGGCTCGACATTTGTCGGCCTTCGCCGTCTCCACTGCCAGGGCAGAAGCAGAGCATTGCACGACACGATTTGGATTCGCAGCTGCTGCCGCAGCTGCAGCTTTTGTAGCACTCGCAGCCGATGTTACTGATACCATCACTCCGGTTGGTCGCGCTCTGGCGAGCCTGATCTTGACAGCTCTTACGCATGGCCTCGCCTCCTGCAAGATCTTCTACGGATCAGCCGGGGCCGCACCATCGGAGGTAGTGTTTCCCGTTTTATTGGGAGTCTCGCAGTGCAAGACGGCGGTGCCTCCCTTCCCGTTTGCCGTGGCCACGTCGCCCAGGAGAGCCTGACACCCGCCATCCCCACGCACGCCAAGCTGGTCATCTCAGGCCGCGTCGTTCAGGAAGCAGTGGCTCTCCTCGGCGTCCGCGGGAGCCCCGTCATCGCAAGCGCAAGTGCTCAAAGGGGGATGCCGTCGGTGAGTTCCTGTCGCGTCGACCACCCCGCCGCGGGCGTTCAACGGTGAACGCCGCCGGCGACCCAGCACCTGTCGATGTTGAGGGATCTGCCGTTCCGGAAACAGCCGATCGTTCCAGGTTACACGATCCCCGCGGGGTCAGGAACCAAGGTCGGGATCGACACGTCACGAACCTGCCGTGGTGATGCCCCCCCTGCGCACGGCGCCGCGTCGCCCACGGCCCTCCACGCAGACTTCGACACGGCGTCCCAGCCCACCGCCACCTCGAGGCGGAGGAGGCGGAATAATGGAGGGCTACGTAAGAAGGGCGAACAGGCAGAGGAGGACGGCGAGGGCGAGGGGGGCGAGGAGGGTGATGAGGGAAGGCAAGGACACACCGCCTGAGGTGTTCTCGGCCGGCGGCTCCTCCTCGCCGCGCGTCGCGCCCTGGCTGGGAAGGGCCACGTCCGAGGCCATGTCGACGGGGAGCGCCGTGCCGATCCATGTTTGGACGGGGCCCTCCGTCGGTCGGGTATCGGGACATTCTGCTCACCCGCAATCTGAGGTGGCGTCTTTGGCAAGGCCTACAAGCCGGTCGTTGAAAATAGGTACTTTTGGATGCCCAAGTCCTAATCTACTTTAGGTGCCTTCCTACTTCAAGAGTCGAGCGGTTTCCCTTCCTTCCTCCTCGTCAGGGGGCGGGTGGAAGCCCAACCTACTTCCAACGCCTTCCTACTTCATGTTTCAACCCACGTCTTCCGACCGGCGTGTAGTGCTAGGCCACGTGCGCGTTCATCCAGAAGTGCACGCGCACGATGCCAATTGCTATTCGTGTTCGGGGAGCTCCGTGCGCATGCCCTCGGGGCTTTGCCCTGCCCTGTCCATCTCGCCTATAGTGCGTGGGGAAGCGCTGCCTGGACGCGGCCCCTGGAGCGGCATCAGTGGCTCACGTACGGTGGGGGGCGTTGGTTGAGGAATGCGCCCGAGAGGCTGCAGACCCTGGAGGATTCTTTATCTGATGAAGGCGGCGTTG